TTTAAGATATCTTAGAACACGAAGAGCTGCGTTCCAATGGTCAAGACGTGGTGCCTGCATAAATTGAGAAAGTGTATGGACTGCATAACATATATCAGGACGAGTAATAGTCAAGTAAAGCAAACGGCCTACAAGACGTCGATACTTGAGGGGATCTCGAATCTCAGCACTAGTAGAGCGAGCCAAATCATGATTGACTGGCAATGGAGTATCAACAGGTTTACACCCATCAAGATTAGCCTCATGAATAATGTCAAGAGCATACTTCCGTTGATTAAGTACCATACCATCATGAGATCGAGCACACTCAATCCCCAAAAAATAGGAAACAGGGCCAAGATCTTTGAGATTAAAACATTCATCTAAGTATTTCTTGAATGAAGAACAGAATGAACGATTGTTACCAACCACCAGAATATCATCAACATAAATAAGAACAACTAACATGTCAGGGCCACGTCGTAAAACAAAGAGAGTATGATCAGCATGTGCTTGACGAAATCCATAACGCCGTAGAGCAATACGGAGTTTAGTGAACCAATTACGGGGAGACTGACGGAGTCCATACAAAGACTTATGCAGGCGGCAAACTTTTCCAGGAAAGAATTGCGTATAACCCGGAGGAATTTTCATATAAATCTCATCCTGTAAATCCCCATGCAAAAAGGCATTATTGACATCCAACTGATCAACCTGCCAACCGCGAGCAACTGCAACAGATAACAAAACACGAACAGTGGCTAACTTTGCTACAGGAGCAAATGTATCAGTATAGTCAACCCCAAATTCCTGGTGGTTTCCCAAAACGACAAATCGAGCCTTGTCACGTTCCTTAGTACCATCAGAATGATACTTGGTCCTGTACACCCACTGACAACCAAGGGCCCGGCGATTAGGAGGAAGATCAACAATATCCCAAGTGTGATTACGCTCTAGAGCTAAATACTCAGCAGCCATAGCCTCGCGCCATGAAGCAAACTGAACAGCTTCACGAAAATTGCGTGGGACCGAGGTGGCATCAATTGCTCCAAGAAAACCTTTGTACCTGTCATGTAACTTATTATAATGAACAAAGTTAGTAATAGGAAACCGAGTACCGGACGAAGATGTACTAGGTGATGAGGAAGGCGGAGTGTCTGTCTTTGCGGAATGAAGAACAAAGTCATTGAGATGAGGCAGAAGACGACGGTTACGAGGAGGCAACGGTTGGATAGTGGGTGGCGGAGAACTAGCTTGCGTCGAAGGGACGTTGCTGCTGTTGTCATCTGGGGAGACGGAAGATGAGGGAGATGGAGGTAGCGACGGGGTAGAGACTGGGGAAGGACTGGATACGACCGTTTGTTGTGGGGACGAGGTTATTGTGGACCCGGATGATGGAAGTACTGGAAAGTCCTCCGAAGAAGGATTTAAAATGGGCTGAGGAGAAGTAGACTTTGTGGGAATGGCAAAGGGAAATTGTGTTTCGTCAAAGGACACATCCCGAGTGTGAAAAAATTGGTGTGTCTCAAGATTGTATACTCGCCAGCCTTTAGTACCGTAAGGATAGCCGACGAACATACATTTCATACTCCGGGGATAGAATTTATTTGTGGGTTTAGGCATTTGACGAACAAAGCATAAACAACCAAAGACACGAAGATGATCCAAGGTTTGAGGTTTAGATGACAAGATCTCAAGGGGAGACTTACCCCCGAGTAGCTTTGTCGGCGTACGGTTGATAAGATACACAGCAGTTTTGACACATTCCCCCCAAAATTCAATAGGAAGAGAAGCTTGAAACATAAGGGACCGAGCAACATTTAATATGTGACGATGTTTGCGTTCGACCCGGCCATTCTGTTGTGGAGTGCCTACACAAGAAGTTTGAATGCACACACCCAAAGAATCATAATATTGGCGTAAAGAATCATTAAGAAACTCAGTGCCATTATCAGACTGAACCATTTTTATTGTTTTGGAATATTGAGTGTGAATCATGACAAAAAATCGCTTAAGACAAGATGTGACCTCACCTTTTGTTTTGATGAGATAAACCCAAACAGCTCGAGAGAAGTCATCAACAATAGTGAGAAAGTAATGTGCCCCAGATGATATACAAGCAGAATATGGCCCCCACAAATCACAATGAATTAAATCAAAAACAGCAGCAGCTTTATTATTACTAACAGGAAATGAGGAACGAGTTTGTTTAGATAAAAAACAAATTTCACAGGTCTGCAATTTCTTGACAATAAAGTTTGTTTTATTCAAACCGAGAAAAGGTAAAACATCTGAGGATGGGTGTCCTAACCGTTGATGAAGAACAAATGGATCAATATTAGCTACGAGAGCTGACGCTGAAGGGGAAGCAAAGACATACACACCATTTCGCAAATCACCTTGTCCAATCACAGTCTTCGATAAACGGTCCTGTATTACACAACAATGATCATTAAAAGTCACATAACAAGTATTATCACGAACCAAGCAACCAACAGATATCAAGTGACAATGTAAATTTGGGACATATAACACATTACGAAGTACCAAACGTGGTGACAAGTGCACACTTCCCTGTTTAATGGCGTGAACACGAGACCCATCAGGGAGACAAATAGATTGAGGGGATACATCCTCAATATTAGACAAGTGTAATAAAGATCCAGTCATATGATGAGAGGCACCACTATCAAGTAACCAATCACCACTGTAAGATGTAGTTGTACCGTATACTGAGCAAATAGCCATTCTAAAAGAAATTGTTGAAGTGTTGTGAAAATCCACTGAAAATCAATTTAGAATTAAAGTTGGCAGCCCACTGAAATAATTGAGACTTGAACTTGGCAGGTGGCCCACTCTATCCGCTGCACTTTGCTGCACCTTTTTTTTTAAAAATTGAAATCCTTGGCTTGCGTCCTGCGGTGATGAACAATCGCAGGTGGACAGATAAGCGGAAAACAAGCTGGACCAGCGACTGGCAGGCGGGAGACCGACGGACCGACGGGAATTTGGGAGACCGACGGGAATTCGGACGGTTCAATTGGATTCCCGATCAGGACGACGAACAGGAACAGTACCCGCAATTGGATTTCCCAATTTTGGACGGCCTTTGGACGGATGAATTGAGCGGCGATCCAAACAAACTGTAATTCCAGAAACTGACAGGACGGACGGTTGAATCAGCATAGGGCTCCGATACCATGTTGAATTTTGGAATTGAAATTGTTGCTTTATTCATTGATGCAAAGACATATATAAATACACACGGGAGATAGAAACGAGGAGCCCTCTGGTGATACAAACGATGAGCCCAAATACAAATACATAAAGAATATATATATACACTAAAACAAATATGTACCAAAAATACTAAGCTAACAAGGGGTTAGAATACCAATAATGTAAGTATATAATACCAAAAAATAAAGTAGAACGTCACTTTACAATATCATAATTTCACAGTGAAAAATCTTATTTTAAAGATAAAAATATGAAACCTTTATTTTGAAGATCACTGTTATGTTTTATTCTTATTTAAAGTGATTTCTTAAAAAAATATTGAGGAGCCTAGTAGAGTAAATACCAATTTCACAAATAAAGGCCTTTTTTATTAACTCCCTCCGTCGTGAAGTTGATTACAATTTTTTGGGAGTTACCTCTCGATAACTCTGATTTGTTTGTCTATTTTAATTGATTATTTAATAAAACAAATATTTTTGTCACCTCTAGTATGGGATAGAGCCCAGGAGTGTAATCTGTTTAACCTTGGTATTTGATGTACGTGGAACTTTTTTTCACTAGCTAGCTCAAATAAACTCAGACGACGATCGACTTCTATCCCAATTTTGTTGATATAAAAAGTAACTTATATTCTTATACTCCATCCCAAAATAAATGTCACACATTATTATTTAATATTGAAAATAGTTTTATTTATTTATGTTTTTATTACTTATTTGATAAAATAAATTTTTTTTATTACTTTTTAACTGCATGACTGCATCTTATTTTGTAAAACTTTTAACATAGTTTTAAATAAATATTTTGTAGTTTTTATTTTTGTACCAAATTTTAAAAAGATTAGAATTTATTGGGTTTGGGGCTATTCTTTTAAAAAGAGTAAATCCCAAAATGGTCCTTTATTTGTAATAAGCTATTTTAATTTCCTAATTCAGTCCTCACTAAATGTAATTACCTAGGTGGTCCTTTATAATTGATATTTATTTCTTAGGCAGTCCTTCACAAATAATGTTACTCGATCAAATGATGATTAATTAAAATATATTCTAAAAATGGTCATTTCTATACAATTAAATGTAAAATTAAAATTATACATTGACTATACATAATCCATGAATTATTAAAAACCTATAAAAGAATCTTTTAAAGTTCGAATCAAATTCACATCTTTAATTAGAAAAAATTATTTTACAAAAACACTTCATTAGAAATGATCATTTTAAGAATTTATTCTAAAATTAGTTGATAAAAAATACCAAAATACCCCACAATTAATCATTATTGGAGTAAAATCATTTACGAATTGAATGATTACCTAGGGAATAAATCTCAATTATAAACGACTACGTAGGTAATTAAATTAAAACTTATTGAGGACTGATTTAAGAAAAGCACCTTATTATAGAGAATCATTTTGAGAATTTACTTTTTTAAAAAGTGAAGGGAGTAGTTAATTTGGAATTTTGGATGTTCGATTTGACACCTTATTTTCACCTTATTTTCTTAACAATAATTTTTCCCTCTTCTCTAAAATTCTAAATGAATTATAACTACACATCTTACCATTTTCAACATTTTTTTCTAAAAATTCATGAAAAGTAAAACAAAACTTTTTTAGGGATCCACGGAATTAATGATAAACACAAACAAAAAAAACAATAGAGTAATTTGAAACTCATAGCCATAATTTTCAAAAATATTATTTTATTTATTAGTATTATTTTTAGGAAAAAAATGAGAGTGCATGTCGTGCTTTAGAACGTGAGATCGAAGGGTCATAAAATTTGAAAAATAAGAAAAATCTAAAATACGACCTTTATGTTTTTTATCCCAAAATAAAACTCATAATTCAAATAATGAAATTCAATTTATAATATCAAACAACATTGTAAAATGTCAATATGTAATTTTAAATTGTCATAGCGCAATAGTCTTATTTTGAAGAAAAAACATGTTACTCTATTTTGGGATAAAAATGGATTGCTCCTATTTTGGGGGAAAAAAGATATGTTTTGCTGCTATTTTAATAGATTTCTTATACATGTACATTTCCTCCGTTCTCAAAAAAAATTCCTACTTTGACAAGGTCTAAAAATAAGGAAGTGTTAAATTGTAATTGACTTCCAATTTTACCCTTGAGGTGATGAGTAAAAATAAGATGTGATGGATAGATTACTAGAAAAGAAGTATGAAGTGATAGTTAAGGTATGAAAAAGTAAGGGTATGTGGGTTTTTAATAAAAAGTGAAAGTGTTTTGTTAGAAGTGGAAAAAATGAAAAAGGAGTATTTTTGTGAACGAAGGGAGTATATATATGTGTGTGTGTGTGTGTGGGATTGACTCCAGTGAGATGATACCTTACGGTGAGATGACATGATTCGGTGAGATGACACAAAGCTCACCATATTACACTGCAAAGCTCACCAATTGCCAATGTAAAGCTCACCTGGATATAAAGCAAAGCTCACCACTTTGAACACCAAAACTCACCTTTTTTTAATTTTAAAAATTAAAAAATTAATAAAAAATAAAATAACAACACCGGTCAACCACCGGTCAGCGGTGGCGGCACGGCGGAGACCGGCGGCGGACGGCGGTGGTGGTCGGCAGAGGCCGGCGGCCGGCGGTGGTCGGCGGCGGCAGCCGGCGGCGGCAGGTGGGGTCGCCGGTGATGGTCGGTCAACGGTCAATGGTCAAAGTCTAGTCAGCAACATGCACTTCCTTTGATTTTTTTTCAAAAAAAAATTCAAAGTGTTGAAAAAATATGGTGAGCTTTGCCTTACAGTTTGGTGAGCTTTGCAGTGGACAGTGGTGAGCTTTGCGTCATCTGATCGTAGCATGTCATCTCACCGTAAAGTGTCATCTGACTGGAGTCAATCACTATATATTTATAGACACACACACATACATATATGTACATATATATATATATATACATATATATATGTGTGTGTATATATGTGTGTGTGTGTATATATATATATATATATATATATATATATATATATATATATATATATATATGATAATCAAAATTCTTGTAGCTTGACTACAAAAAATTAAATTGAATAAAGAGACCTAGAGAGTATTGGATTGTATAAGACCACCCGCATTAGAGGGAGGGCTGAGGCGGAGGACTCCACGCATTGAAAGGAGTAGTAGATGGAGAAGTTCTTCTCCGGCGCAGATTTCAAGGCATTGGAGGAGAGGAAGTGATCCGCGGAGAAGAACGAAAATTGAAAGGATTGGGCCAACCATATCATGACACGTGGACAACCACACTTTTCTTCCTTTTTTAACATGTACTCTTTCTTTCTTTTTTCCTATATATATTTACCATAATTAAATTTTTAGAAATGAATTTAAAAAATTTTGAAATGATTTTTACCATAATTAAAAATTTACAAATTCATTTGTAAAAATAAATTTACTTTTATATTTTTAGATATTTTGGTGATGGTTTTTTTGTTATAACATAAATGTGTTGGGGTTAGTTATTTTTTTTATAAAGATAGGTTAAATTTATTTTGAAATATATTTTTAAAATACTTTTATATTTTCCTATTTCTTTGATTTTTAAATATTTTTTAGATCTAAAAATTAATTTTACACTTTTCTGCTTTATGTTTTAGAGAAATAGATATGTAGGGTGAATTTTTGTAATAATTATATATATATTCGAAATAAATATAGTTTAAATTTATGTTTAAATTTTATGTATTTTGGTGTATTATTTCAACTATTGTATCCATGTTTTCAAATAATGCAATTAATATTTAGTAATTCGTAATCTATAAATAATTTTTTAAGTTTTTACCATTATTAAATTTTGGTGAAATTCATTTATTGAAATAAATTTAATTAAGTTTTTTATTGTTATGAATGAAGTACAATTTTATTGTCGAAACGTTAAAAAAAGTACAATTTTATTTTTCATCAAAATGTGAATTAAAATAATTGTAGATAGTATATATATTTAATAATAATAAAATCATTTAAGTCACATAATGAATAGTATTTTAGTAGTCTTTTTGATGTAGAAGCTGAGGAGGAGTAAATGGAAAAGTTGCGTATTAGGCCTACAAACGCTGATGTGGAAGAGAGAGGTGGGAGTAGTCCTATCTTTACTCCACCACCCAATGTGGGTGCCCTAATAGGAGCACTAGGTACTATAGGCAAATTCTATGGTCGACCAAAGGTCCATCATGACATACATATGAGCAAAATAAGCATTTTTTACTACTTAAATAAGTATCGGATTTTTTAATAAAAAAATTGAAAAAAAATGTGAGAAGGTTCACAAAAATGGTATGCACCCAAGGTGCACCATAGAAGCACTCGTTATTATAATCTCATCTGTACGGCATTGTGATAAAGGCTGATGCGAATTTGTTTATTTATTTGTCATTTTTACAGGGAACTTTATATCGCTGGTCTTGTTCTTGTCACCTTTGTAAGCTCAATACTTTATACTCTCCTTGTCCCAATTTATTTTTCACATCTAGAAGAATATGTAAAATCTCATCTTTTTTAATTAAAATAATTTTATTTATAAATTGCTATAGAAATAAATACTACAACTTACATTATTCAAAACTACATCGAAATTCACGATATGAATAGTATATTTTGAAGTGTCTTTAACAAAAAGTAAAGTGTAATTAAAATAATTTCCACAGTTGAGAAAAATATTTTACTTCATCAATTGGTCAATGAAAACATGCATACAAAGATAGTTATCAATAGACCGCAATATCAACTGGAAAGGTTTATAATTTGAGACAGAAAGAGTGCTTTTTTGAGATTATTAATAACTCCCTCACTCTCAATGAGTTTGTCCACTTTTCCTTCTTTAATTTAGAATGGTCGCAATGTGTTTGGCAAGTAACTATAGATAAATAGAGTTTTTTGTTTTATATTTACTACTCCCTCCGTTTGGAAAAAGCCTTCCCACTTTGACTATAAGGCAAAATAAGGAAATGTAAAATTATAGTTGACTTCCAATTTTGCTCTTGATGTTATGAGTAAAAGTAAGATGTGATTGATTTATTATTAGAGAAAAAGTATGATGTGATAGGCAGGGTATGAAAAAGTAAGGGTAAACGTGGTTTTTTAATAGAAAAGAGAAGTGTTTTGTTGGAAGTGAAAAAAATGAAAGATGAAGTATTTTTGAGAATGGAGGGAGTACTTTACATTTATTACTCCCTCCGTCCTATAATGATCTTCCCGGTGCGCAAAACGAAGAAAAATCCCAAGTTTTTTCAATCTATTTTATTTAAATATTGGTATAGAAATAAAAAATAAAACATACATATTTAAAAACTACATCAAAAGTTCAACAAAACAAGTGGTGACAAGAATATTTTATTTTATCATATAGGCCATGAAAAACACTAATAAATATAAATTTCCGTGAAGTTGGAATAGTGCTCTGGGAGGATCATTATAGGACGGAGGGAGTATATTCTAACGTATCTAACTAAATTGTCACTTATTTCAAAAAAGTAGGGGCATATTTGTAACTTTAGATCTCTATCTTTTGCTTTTCCGTTGATCAACGTTAAAAAACAAACCGGATGAATTAATGGGAAGGGAATATATTACAACTTCATTATATATCTATCCATATTATTGAATTACAAGAGTGAATGGTCCTAGTGAGATTCACATTTCACACATGTGACCTCTAATTTGAGAGCACACTATGTTGCTCGATAATAAGCTTGTTGATTTTATACTATGCTCTTTGCATCTAATAAATATAAAATAAATAAATAAAAGTATTTAGACAACAAAGAATAACGTTTGAGTTTTTTTTGTATGACGTAATGATTCAATGTCTCCATGATGACGCAAAGTTTTTTTTGCAAAACACCTTTCAATTTCCATTATACTCCCTTTGTCCCTAAATTCATTTCCCGTTTTGACTGTCTCATTGTTCTTCCATTCCTGCTTTACATTTCATCATTCACACGATTATATTGTTGTTACAATGACACCATTCACAATGACAAAGTCCCATTTAGAGGATAAAGCAAAAGCTAAGATAGAAATAATATAATTCCTATTTGGTATTTAGATGACATTTTAAACTATCTAGAGACATTTTTTATTTTATTAATTAACTTAAATGAGAAGATTAATTGTTGACCGTTAACATAATCTCAGCCCTGCAATTATGAACATATGGAATAAGAGAACCGTGTCACACTATTCGGCAGCACCATACCTAGCGACATTCATCAACTGTGGGCTTTGGTCGTTCTACGGAACCCCAATCATTCACCCCAACGCCCTCCTCGTCCTGACCATCAATGGCGCAGGGATGGCCATTGAGGTCGTCTTCCTCTTTGTGTTTTTTGTTTTCTCAGACAAGAAGATGAGATTTAAATTATCAGTGGCGCTCCTCGGCGAGCTCATTTTCATGGCCGCTCTTTCGTCTCTGGTCATTACTCTCGCGCATGCATGGAGCCTCCGGTCTGCGGTCGTTGGCTCCATTGCCGCGTTGGAAGAGCATTGTCATGTACGCTTCTCCTTTGGCAAGCATGGTTAGTTTATACACTTCTTCCGTCTATTCTTTACCGTTATTATTTGTCACTTTCAGAAATACGCCTTTTTTCGTCACATAGACTAAATTGATTCACATTTTTTCTTATAAGGAATAAGGGTTCGTTCCGTTCAACTTATTTTTGCAGCATATTACTTATTTTATTAAGATCTAAAGCCCTATATGTATATAGGTCAATTAACTTGAAAGATTGAGATCAAAATTGAATGAATAAGTTGTCACTTTTAAATTTTACTTTTGGTGTTACATACAGAAATTGGTGATGATGACGAAAAGCGTGGAATACATGCCTCTTCCCTTTATACTTTGTTCCCTAGTGAATAGCCTTTGCTGGAGTTCGTACACCAAAGGTGGACCCCATTTATCCCTCACTCCTTCCTTTTCCACATAAATGGGCAAGAAATTCAAAAATAAATAAATAAATAAAAATCAAATAATAATGGGTGGTGAAGAATGGGGTGGTGTACATTTGGTATACCCCTAACATTGCTCAGTTCAAAAAAAGTGTGTCTTTAAAATTAGTAATTTGGTATTATTTTCGAATTATTTTCTACACATCTCATCCTCGTTTATTATAAAGTAATGACAAAATTAGAAAATTACACCAAAATTATTTATTTTAAGGGTGCGCTTTTTTTCCAAAAGGGAATGGTTTTATGAGACGGAGGAAGTATTTGAATTAATTCTATAATAAGTCTTTAAAACGATAAGAATTTCATATTTAGTCATTAATTATCAAATACTCCGTTTTACGTTCGTGATCCTTTATTTATGAAAACATTTTTTAACAAATAGTCCTTTATTTGACATTTCGTCGTGTTGATATTACACTGAGTGCTAAAAAGGTAACTTCATATCGACCTTAGGTTCGACGCATGTATTCTAGTCTTGACTTGATGGACCACACAAAAAAAATGACCATAGTTGCGGACGTGGACTCTGACTAATGACAACAATTGTGGACTATGGTTGCGATTGGCGGCGAGTCCAGCGGACAAATGACACAATAGCATTGGCTATGGCTAGAAAGATGTGGGATCGATATGAAATTATACTTTTAACCCACAATTTAACACCAACACGATAAAAGGTCAACAAAAAATCATCGGTAGAAATGTACCTATTAATACTCCGTATTTGATAATAGAGGACTGGATATGAAAAATCTCTGATTTTAAAAGACCAGTTATAGAACTTATTCATTTCATATCAATTATGTGAAACTTTGATTACTAAAGTATACATTTAGACATCCAAAAATTGATTTTAAAATATGGGGAAGGTTCCCATGACATTGGTTCTGACATTGGGAACCAATGTCATGGGATGACCCGGGGGCGCTCCGGTGTCCCGTTCGTAAAATTGACGGTTCCTACCCCCCTAACCCTCCCGGTAAACCCCTCCACCCCGCCCCGACCCGGTCAAATGACTCCAAAGTCAAAATCAACTTGTGGGGTGCAATTGAAGGGGTGTGAGGGGTGTGTTCGGGTCGGGGCGGGGTGGGGGGTTTACCAGGAGGGTTAGGGGGGTTGGAACCGTCAATTTTACGAACGTGGCACCAGAACGCCCCCGGGTCATCCCAATAATCCCATGACATTGGGAACCAAGGTGTTAAAGCAATTGGCAGAGGAACCATACCAAAATAAATGTTCGACCGTAAATTTCGATTTGGGATGTGTATTGAACTAAAATTGAAACATCGTTCCTCAAAAAAAAACATTAGAAGAATATTGTGTGTGGAACAAGAGCTTTTATTATTATTATTATTATTATTATTATTATTATTATCATCATCATCATCATCATCATCATCATCATCATCATCATCATCATCATCATCATCATCATCATCATCATCATCATCATCATCATCATCATCATTATTATTATTAAAATAAACAGGATTGGTCGCATAAAATGGAAATCATTTTGGCCTTGTGATTTTGTTCAGGCACCTAATGGCATTGGAATGGTTCTTGGGCTTGCTCAATTATTACTGTATGCAAAATACTACAAATCCAACAAAGGTGTTGAAATGAAGCAAGTTAATGGAGAAGTTGGTTTGTCCCAAGAAAATAAAACAATCAGCCAGGCTTGAATCACTACTTATATTATACTATTATATATATATAC